ACATGAGGAGCTGTATTTAAAGGGCCGGAAGGTTGAGAACCACTGCTCTAAACCTTAATTATGAGCCAGATGATGCAACTTTACCACAATGTGGTTGTGCAATTGCAGGCACAAACGCTATGTTTGAAGTACAGGTGCGGGAGTAGATTTTAGTGATAAAATTCGAAAGGATGCATGTTTCAGCAGCCCAGCCCCCAGATGCCTGACTTCCACAGGAAAGAACCATGATGCCCATTAGCCCTGTGAGGAAGGGGGCCTCGTGGCTGTGTCTCCACAGCCTGGGGGGCCAGGGCACACACTGATACCACCTGCCACTGACACGACCCCTGTTGGAACTGCAGGCAAAACCACTTCCTGTTCCAGGCCTGAAGCTGGTAGGGGCAGGGCCCACTCCTTGGGCCCAGGGCTGCTGGGACCACACCCACCACCACCTGTGTCACCGGTCAGAGGGGACAGAGTGGGAAGGCCTGCGAGGTGAGCGCTGTAACTCTTTCATCTCCTCTGGTGAGGGGACCTCGCTGCCCTCCCACCTGTATGTGGAGAGTGGGTGTGGACCTTGAAGCCCACTCCTGGCCAGTTCATGGAAAGGCCCACTTGGTTCCTGAAATCGGAGCCTGTATATCTTTGGAACTAGGGCATGGGACTTGGATCAGGCTAAAAGTTGGAGATATAGAGGTGAGCCAACTGCAGTCCCCACACTCCAAGAAAGACAAGCAATTAGGGTAGAGCTGAGAGCATTTCCTCCATCATCAAATGCTTAGGGCCCACCGCGGGCCATGCACGACTGACAGCATGGCCTGTGCTGTGGTGGTGCCTACAGTCCAGAAGGAAAGGCAGCAAATGAGAAGTCATGACATTGAACGTGGGTGAGCATTAAGGTCAGGGGAGCAAGAGCCATGAGAATACAGAGCAGGGACGCTGACCTAGCCCAGGGGTCAGGAGACCTCTCTGAGGTGATGACAGGGCGGCACAGCCGGAATTCGCTGGGGGAGGCAGGAGGGAATGGGGCCCCAGGAGTGTAGAGGTTGTGTGGGGGGTGCTGAGGGGTGGGAAGAGTGACCTCAAGAGGTCAAATGTCAGGGGGCACAGGAGGACTTTGACCTTTATCTCAGCGATGGTGGGAACTACTGAAGCTGTTGCACAGTGCCCGGACCGGCCTGATGAGCGTCTGTGATGGCCCCTCTGGCCGCAGGGTGGGGAAGAGCAGAGCCCATTGAACAACATCCCAGCTGTCAGGGTGAACCCTTCCTTCTCAGAGCTCCGCCAGCACGATTCTGCACAACGACCCTCAGAAGCTTCCAGCAACAGGCGGACTCACACGTCCACGCACCCAGTCCAAATGGAGCGGGCAGGCTGGCCTTCCACTGCCCTGGACGGGTGACAAGGAACCACTGGCTGCTTCCCACGGGTGTGTCTGAGGGAAGTCTCCTCCCTACAGTCGGCCTCTCTGAGCCTCCCTGGACTTGCCCAGCTGGCTGCGCCCTGGCTTCTGGCTTATCACAGCCAGAATAATGACGTGAGACATGTGGGCCCACAGCCAAGTCCTTCCACATCACCAAGTCGGGTGGGGAAGGGGCCAGGCCTGGGAACCTGTGCCACCTCCCTAACACCACAGGTGACTCCCTCCCCACACAGGGCCTTGCTCCTGGCCTGCTTCCTTCCTGGGAACTGTGTCACTCACCCAGCCTCTTGACCCACTCTACACTTTTTATTTATTATTTTTATTTTTTAATATATTTTTTCTTGATTTCAGAGAGGAAGGGAGAGGGAGAGAGAGATAGAAACATCAATGATGAGAGGGAATCATTGATCAGCTGCCTCCCGCACGCCCCGCACTGGGGATCGAGCCTACAACCTGGACATGTGCCCTGACCGGGAATTGAACCATGACCTCCTGGTTCATAGGTCGATGCTCAACCATTGAGCCGTGCTGGCCAGGCTCCATGGGCTATTTAGACTTTGTTGGATGCATGTTAAAAATCATATATGCAGTTTTATTTATTTTTTTAAATCAGCATATATGTATTGGAAATTACATCCTTTGTAACTGTTTGCACTTAGGAGAAAGTTGAGATATCCACTGAACATCATGCAAGGACGTGCTTAGATATCTCTCAAAGTTATTTGAAGGCATGCAGAAGTGAGGAAACACTGTCAGGAGCTGCTGCTGGGGGTGAGATGCCAGCGCAGTCATCTGACTCAGGATGGAATCCTGCCTCCGCTGCTACCAGAGCTTTGAACATGGGCAGGTACTGCTTGTCCTTGGGTTTGCATGTCTGTAAATGAGGGGCAATTGTAATACTGACCCCTGCCCTAACCAGTTTGGCTCAGTGGATAGAGCATCAGCCTGTGGACTCAAGGGTCCCAGGTTCGATTCTGGTCAAGGGCATGTACCTTGGTTGTGGGCACATCCCCAGTAGGGGATGTGCAAGAGGCAGCTGATCGATGTTTCTCTCTCATCGATGTTTCTAACTCTCTATCCTTCTCCCTTCCTCTCTGTAAAAAATCAATAAAATATATTTTAAAAAAATACTGACCCCTTCTGGTTGTTCTGGGAGTAACTGAGCTGGAGGAAGTAGTGGCTTTATCTGCCCGCCCAGAAGGAGGGCAATAGCAAAAGAGGAAGTAGGAAGTAGGAAGTAGTGATCAGGGCTGGCACAGGAAGGGACCATCCATTTAGCTGAAGAAAGGCAAGGGGGAACCCGGTCACAAAAACACAGCCTGGCTCTCACAACCAACTAAGTTTACAACTAAACTGCAGAACAACCATCATCCAGAACTGCCTGAAATCTCGCTGAAGAGAAGTCCTACAACTAGAGGTTTAAAGAAGAAGCCACATTGAGCCTGGTATGTGGGGCCCAGACATGGAACGGGCTGAAAATTGGGAGGGATATCTCAGCCGTACCAGCCTCACACCAGGCCTCCTAGCCCAGGGTTCCAGGGCTGGAAGAGAAATCCCCATAACTTCCAGCTATAGAAATGAGTGGGGATTGAGGCCAAAGGGAGGGAGGGCTCCTGGAGTCCCAGCAGGGCCCGGGCACTCATTCAGATTCACTGCCTCTGAGTCCATTGCTGAGGCAGCTGCTTGAAAGAAACTGGAAATGGAATTGTTTGTTTTGTTGTTTTGTTAATCCTCTCCTGAGGATATTTCTACTGCTTTTCAGAGAGAATGGAAAAGAGGGAGGAAGGGAGAAGGGAAAAAGAGAGAGAGAGAGAGAGATGAGAGAGAGACATCAAGTGGTTGCCTCCCACATGCACCCCAACTAGGGGCAGGGAAGTGAAACCCTTCAGTGCAGAAAAGTGAAACCCTTCAGTGCATGGGCTGAAGCTCTTACCCTGAGCAACACAGGCAAGGGCAGGGCCATTGTTTTTTTGGTGGTTTGTGTGTGTGTGTGTGTGTGTGTGTGTGTATGATTTTTGTGTGTGTGTGTGTGTGTGTGTTTTTTATGAGCCCTTCTCCAAAGAGCCTGTAGGCAAGGGCCATATCTGAGTCCCTGCCCCATCCAACTGGCTTTTAATATGATGGCCCGTCTTGGCTCATGCTTCAGACTTTTCTAAAATCACTCAAATAAGCAGCATCTAGCCTCAGCATGCAGTACCTCTCACAAAGTGGCCCCAGGCCCAGCACTAGCAGCATCTGGCTTTGGTTCACAGCTTGGCGTCTCCTGGGCATCTCCAAACTCAGCACAAGTAGCAGCCTTTGCAGATTGCTTTGTAGCTCAAGCCCAGTAGCCCTGGGCAGAACACAGGTAGTGGTTGACCTGGGCCAGCACCTCCTAGGAGGCCCCAGAGCCAGCACACCTGGTGGACAGCTTCAGACCATGTTGAAGCACCACCAACTTCCTCCACAGGGGACACACTCAAGGGGTAGACTCAGCAGGCACCACTGCCCCACTGAGGTAAGTCCAGCTCTGTGGGATACGCCCTTGCACAGTTGACCTTCCACAGTGGTTGGTGCTTGCAGCTGATCGACCTGGGGGTAAATACCTCCCATTGAGGTGCCTACAGCAATCGAGGCTCAACTACAGTAGGAGGGTGTACAGAGCACATGATGGTGTAGGTTGGGGGCACAACTGGAGTGCCCAGCTTAGGTGATCAGGGAGGCTGTGCCACTGGACCCTACAGGACAGCTACTATATTAGGCCACTTTACCAAGCCCAGGACACATAGCAGCTCTACCTAGTACACAGAAGCAGACACAGGGAAAATGCTAAAGAGGGGGAGACAAATAAACATGTCCCAAATGAAAGAACAGAACAAAAGTCCAGAAAAAGAACTAAACAAAAGGGAGACAAGCAATCTAATAGATGCATAGTTCCAAACACTGTTTATAATGATGGTACTCAGTGAACTTAGGGGAACAATAGTTGAACTTAGAACTTTAACAGCATAAAAAAGGACATGGAGCCCTGGCTGAAGTGGCTCAGTTGTTTGGAGCATTGTCCCATCTCCGAAGGGTCACTGGTTCGATTCCCAGTTAGGGCACATACCCAGGTTGTTGGATGAAACCCTGGTTGGGAACATATGGGAGGGAACCAATGTTTCTCATATCGATGTTTCTATCTCTATCTCTCTCTGCCTCTCTCTTCCTTTTAGTCTAGAATCAATAAAAAATATATCCTCAGGTGAGGATTAAAAAAAAGATATGGAAACCATAAAATGGGACGTGGAAACCATAAAAGGATACATGGAAACCATAAAAAAGTACATGGAAACCATGAAAGGGGACGTGGAAACCATGAAAGGGGACGTGGAAACCATAAAAAAGGACACGGAAACCATGAAAGGGAACATGGAAACCATAAAATCGGACATGGAAACCATAAAATGGGACATGGAAACCATGAAATGGGACATGAAAACCATAAAAGGGGACGTGGAAACCATAAAAAAGGACACGGAAACCATGAAAGGGAACATGGAAACCATAAAATCGGACATGGAAACCATAAAATGGGACGTGGGAACCATAAAAGGGCACGTGGAAACCATAAAAAAGGACACGGAAACCATGAAAGGGGACATGGAAACCATAAAATGGGACGTGAAAACCATACAAAAGGACCCGGAAACCATGAAAGGGGACATGGAAACCATAAAATGGGACGTGAAAACCATAAAAGGGGACGTGAAAACCATAAAAAAGGACACGGAAACCATGAAAAAGGACGTGGAAACCATAAAAGGGGACATGGAAACCATAAAAGGGGACGTGGAATCCATACCAGAGGACATGGACACCATATAAAAGGACACAGAACCATAAAAGGGGACATGAAAACCATAAAAGGGGACATGGAAACCATAAAAAAGGACACAGAAACCGTAAAAAAGAACCAGTTCTCAGTGGCCCCTGGTCAGGGCCTGCCCTGCATTGCACAGCCTGGGTCACCGTCCATGGTGGGCACGATATCCCAAGGTGAGGAGAGTGGCCCTTCACCAGGCCCGCTAGGGGACTTGGCCCTCAGTGAGCAGCAGCCAATCTCCAAAAAATCCCTGGCATGGAGCAGGGTCCTCAAGTGGAAGGAGAAGTTCAAACCAGGCACCGACACCCTACTGATGTGGTCACTGCCTTGCCAGGTCTACGTGGATCATGGTGAGAAACTGAAAACAGACCTGTGACCTCAGAAGCTGATCATGAACTTGTTCCCCTCGCAGCTGCTGATCCCACTGGGCCATTATATCCGGGACTCAAGGAGGGTCCAGTTCTCCTTCACCAACCTGGACCTGGAGTCCCGCAAAAGCCTCTACCGCACGATAGGCAACGACTGTGGGGGCTTCGTGCACTTTCTCTTCATGGACCACAGCAAGTTGCACATATATATGCTCCTGTTGTCCCCCAAGAAGAAGACCTTCATGGGCCTCATTCCCTATGACCAGAAGGGCTTCCTCAACAGAATGGCGCAGATTGTGCGGCAGGAGCTCAAGAAAGGTGAGTTGGGGGCATAGCAGGCATTGCCCGGGCTGAGCCCCCTTCCAGAGGACCAGGCTAGTTCCTCACAGAATCTGCTCTAGCTCCGCCAACCACAGTCTGAGCCTCAGGGCACTGTGGAGGCTGCTGCAGCCTCGGGGCAGCCTCAGCCCAAGCGTGTTGCCCAGGTTCCCCCCAGGTACTGCCCAAGGCCCTCCAAGGACAGCTCCCAGCCTGCCTCTTTCGCACCTATCCTTTGGCCCCAGAACCCGGGGCCAACTATGGAGTCTCCTCCTCAACCCACTCCTGACCCAGACAAGGGTGTGCCTCCTGCCGCCCCCCTCCCCCCCAAGCAGGCTTCTCTCCATTGCCTCCAACCACCAGGAGTCCCTGCATTGTTCACACCACCACACCAGGCCTGGGGCTGCCCTAGCTGGGGTCCCCACTCTTACAACTGCCACCAGCCCAGCCCTGGCCAGCACAGCTTCCCCCGGGGGCTCTACTGCCAGGTCACATGCTCCTGAGCTTTGGGTCTGGAACCCACTCATCCTGACTTCCTCCAAATGGAGCAGTGGTTGCTGGGAACCTTTGAGGAAAGACAGGCCGTGGGCTGTGGTTAGAGCCCAGGCTGTCCATCATCTGGCTGTGATCACTGCCAAGCGGATGGGGACAATGACCCGTGGGTGGGATGGGAGTGGAGGGAGAGGTCAGGGGTGAAAAGAGAAGTCCTGGCTCCGGCAACTGTGAATGCCCCAGCACAGACAAATCTCGCAGCTTCTGGTCTCCACATAGGCACATGGAAAGTTCCCTATGTACGCCCTTTGGGGGTGCGACGGTAAATCTGCCAGAATCTAGGACACAACATGTTTTCTGGTTTCCTACAGGTCGTCAGACTTCCACCATCAAACAAATGCCCGAGAATGTTCACCACAGTATGTATTCCTAACTGGGGAGAATGAGATGTTCTGAAGAAGGCCTGGAGCAGCTGGGGCTGTGATAACAAAGGACTGCACCGAGGACTTCAATAACAGAAATGCATTCTCTCACCACTCTGGAGGCTGGATGTCCAAGATCCAGGTGTTGGAAGGGTTGGGTTTTTCCAAGGCCTCTCTCCTTGGCTTGTAGATGGCCATCGTCTTCCCCTGTTCCTCTGTGTGTCTGTGTCCAATCTCTGCTGTGGTTACAAAGAACGAGGGTGACGGTGGGATGGGGGGACTTTATTTACTTGTGTATGTCTGTATGTGTGGCAGATTGGATTATTCTCAGTTCTTCACTCTCTGCCTTGCCCTGGCTTAGAGCCTCTCCCAGTGTGGGCCAAGTATATTTCCCTGCCCCATGGATGTTGAGCTTGGCCAGGTGACTTGGTCTGGCCAGTGGAATTTAGATGGAGGTAACAGAGTGGAAGCCTTAAATGTGCTTCCTTGGCATAGCTTGGTCTCTTGGGCTGTTGAGACCATCAGTGAGAAGAATAGACCCTGGGAAATGGCTGGTCGCAGGGAAATGTGAAGCCATGATGAGCAGAGCTGAACCCAACCTCAGCCTAGCGCTCGCTCAGTGACCCACGTACCCCTGAGCAAGAAAAATGCACGCTTACCTTGAAAACATGCTGAGTGACGTGAGCCAGACAAAAGGACAAATATTGCGTGCTTCCACTTCTGTGAGCTATCTAGATAAGCAATTTCATACCCCGTCTACTAGAGGCCACCAGAGGCTTGGGGGATTATTGCATGGTACAGAGTTTCTGCTCGGGGGATGAAAAGGTTTGGGAACAGTTACAATAGTTGCACAACACCACAGATGTACTTAATACCACTCAATAGGGCACTTAAAATGGTAAATTTTATTATATATATTTTACCACAATTAAAAGTAATAATACCACAATATACCAAACCCGTTGAATTTATACTTCACTTATTTTTTTTTAACCAGAATTATCATTTTAATTAGTTTTAACAGTCTCTCACCCAAATTCTGGCTAAGAAAAAATATTATTTTTTAAATATATACAGATATTTTTTATTGTTGACAGTATTACAGAAGTCTTCCATTTTCCCTTTACCTACCTCCACATAGCCCCCACTGCCCCCCACCCCAGGTTTTCACCCCCTATTGTCTGTGTCCATGGGCTACGCATGTAAGTATATAAGCTCTTTGGTTTCTCTCTCCTGATCCCTCCACCCCCACAGCAAGGTGTGTCAGTCTGTTCCATGCCTCTGTGCTTCAGGCCATATTTTGTTAGTCAATTCATTTTGTCTATTAGATTCCAAAACTAAGTGAGATAATGTGTTATGCCATCTTTGTTGGGTTAATTTGCATACTCATCCTGATTGGCTGGTGGGCATAGCGGAGCGACACCAATTTGCATGTTTCTCTTTTATTAGTGACACCAATTTTATGTTTCTCTTTAATATATATTAAAGAATACCAGTTGTGTGAAAGGCAGGAGTTACAGGTTAAAAACAACATCCTATAGGACAGTGGTTCTCAACCTTGGCTGCACATTAGAATCACCTGGGAATTGTTTTAAAATCCTAATTTCTGGGCCTCATCCTCTGGAAATTCTGTTTCTTTGTTACTAATGTTGTGGCCTCACCCCATAACAAAGAAACAGAATTTCTGGAGGATGAGGCCCAGAAATCAGGATTAAAAAGATCCCCAGGTGTGCAGCCAAGGTTGAGAACCACTGGTGTAGGAGAATATGGATAATACATTTGGTACTTTTACAGGTGTAAATGTATCTTTTCTAATGTGATTGCTTCATTCATATCACCTATACTCAGTAGTCTCTTATAATTCACTGCTGTTTAGAGCAAAATAACTTGTCAAATGGATGAGCCACTTACAACATCTATTTGTTGTTACTATTTAGTATCCACAAATGGTAAGCCCCTGTTTTGGGGAACACTAACCATCTCTCCTACATTGCTGACCATGTGCAATTTAGCGGTGAAGTTCTACCCACTCTCCATGGTGTGCAGTGGCCTGGTTAGTGCAGTCATTGAGTCACCCTCAGGCACCACTTCCGGCCGCGCAGTCTTCTTCAGATGATCCAGGTTTCACGGAAAGATGCACAGCTGCCTCTCTGGGCATCTGTGTGTGCAGGACTCACTTGAGGCCTTTGTGGAGTGCAATCTACACTCACTGCCAGTAGGTATTTGAAGAAATCCTTTAATCCAGTTCTGGCTTGGGGGTAACATGCAGTTCACCCATTTTAAGAGCTAATCAGAGATGTCATTTTAACTTTTCTTCCCTTTTTAAATTTTAGTTGCTATATCTTCATGTAACTATGATTTGTGGTATAAATAAACAGATGTATCTTGCCCTAAATTCAAGGACAATGTTCCCCAAGACAAAACTCCATTCTTTGGAAACAGAGAGACCCTTAGCTCTGTTCTACATAAACGGTACTCCCTGGCGCACAACCCCATGTGCATAGAACATGCAGATTATAACGAATGTGGTACTTTTGTAGTCCAGCTCTGAGTGCAGCCAGCCCTGGCCAAGGAATTTTTATTCTTAGATCTCTAACAATGCCATCCACTTTCTCTGAGTTAGGGCTGGCGTTTTATTATCAAATCTTTTCCTCCCTTTGTACCACGTGATGTAGTATTAAGTATATGTTGCCTGATCCATTAAATATTTCAAAGACATCAATGTTTTCTATGATCTAGTAATTTCAAATTATACCTGGCAACCAATTTCCTCTTTGCTGGAATAGGTTGAAGCAATTTCTAGAAGAGGAAACAGGTGGCTTTTGTTGGTCCTGATTGGTCTTTGTGGGTCTGGTCAAGTCGGTCCGCTTCCTTGTGTCTCACTTCTCTGTATATACAGGGGAGACCAAAGTATATACAGGCCAGACCCAAATCCGCTCAATCTAAGGCAATTATGTGAAGCATTCTCTGCTCTCTTCCTTAATGTAGATAAGCATAGCTGATTGCCATGTGTGGTAGGATATTGTTTGCTGTTTTTTCCCCTGCATGTTGCTGAGGAAAGGAGAGTTTTCAGTAACTGGAAGGGTTTTTTCTGGTTATGTTATTGGTGAAGGGGGGGTATCCCTCACCCCACTGGGTGCTGGGGGTCAGAGCCGGATGATATCAAGGGAAGGCGAGTGATTTTTCTTTGCATGGAGTTACATCTCTGGGTTTTCAAAGTCCCATTTCCCTTAATCCAGTCCTGGGAGATGTGTAGCTGGGGAGTGACTAGAGCTAGCAGCAAAGCCAGCCTCCGAAGTTTCCTTTCCATGGGGGAGTTGAGTCGGGTACAGCATCAGATTAGTTGTAGTCCATTAGTCCATTAATGTCGGAGCATGAGAGCTCTGCAAGCCAGGACTCAAGAGAGCAAACTCCTTCGTTTGGGAGCTTAAGTATCTCAAATCCGCCCGTGCTTGCAGTGGCCACATCTACCCTGGCCAATGACTGTCCCCAGGGGTGACTGACAGGTCAGTACCTTCCCCATGTCACCCAGACTCTACTGGGCATGCGTCTATTCTTCCCCTTGTCCAGACCCTTTCCCCAGCAGCAGACAGACTGGTGACTATAATATTTGGTCTTCCCCTGGCTCCTTTCCAGTTATTCCTTGCTAGGTTAAATTGCTGTGGTGTCAGTTAGAGTCTCTGCCTTGCATGCATCTGAGCCATGTCTGTGCTCACTGTGACTAAAACAGTTATGGGTGTGCTAATAAGCAATCACCACACAAGCTGCTCAAATATTCAAGAAATGGGGTTTGTGATTATATGATAACAACATAACATCCTTTTACTGCCCCAGCATATGTTCTAGAATTTTTGTGCTAGTCAGCAGTTATATATCATTTTCACAATCAACCAAAATCAAGAGGGAGTATTTAATTCATAATCTTATCCTGTCAAATCACTCCTATTTATTTACTGCTTATCCACTGAATAACTTTTAAAAAAATATATTTTATTGATTTTTTACAGAGAGGAAGGGAGAGGGATAGAGAGTTAGAAACATCGATGAGAGAGAAACACCGATCAGCTGCCTCCTGCATACCCCCTACTGGGGATGTGCCCTCAACCAAGGTACATGCCCTTGGCCGGAATCAAACCCGGGACCCTTGAGTCCACAGGCCGACACTCTATCGACTGAGCCAAACCAATAGGGCCATTGAGTAACTTGTTCATGAAGACAGTATTTTATTTTATTTTTGTGTTGTTAATCCTCACCCGAGGATATTTTTCCATTGATTTTTAGAGAGAGTGGAAGGGAGGGGGAAGAGACAGAGAGACAAACATCAATGTGAGAGAGACACATCGATTGGTTGCCTCCTGCATGTACCCCAACCAGGGCCGGGGATTGAGCCTGCAACCAAGGTATGTGCCCTTGACTGGAACTGAACCTGGAATCCCTCAGTCTGAAGGCCAACACTATTCACTGAGCCAAACCAGCTAGGGCAGTGGTTCTCAACCTGTGGGTCGCGACCCCTTTGGTGGTCGAACGACCCTTTCACAGGGGTTGCCTAAGACCATCCTGCATATCAGATATTTACATTAGTATTCATAACAGTAGCAACATTACAGTTATGAAGTAGCAACGAAAATAATTTTATGGTTGGGTCACAACATGAGGAACTGTATTTAAAGGGCCAGAAGGTTGAGAACCACTGAGCTAGGGCATGAAGGCAGTATTTTAAAAATTAAGAATGCATATACACTAAAGTGACTGAATATGGATTCCGATGTTCTCAGACAACAGAATATTCACGTATGACTCAGAATGCATCAGCTTTTATTTCAAACTGCGCTTCTCTCAGGGGTGGACTAACAGAGTCTGCATTGCTCAAGAGAAAGCCTAAACACGTGCCTTAACTTGACCAACTTAACTAAAGACCAAACAGACATTTTTAAATACCAGAAGTGGTATAACCAAATAACAATTTACACGAAGATTGCAAGAATTCAACACCGAGTTAAAACCTCTGTAATACATGAGGTAAATAAACTCTACATTTAATGTGGCTACTTGCATCTTTATTCTACTGAAGACACAGCATAAAAAGGAAGTTTGAGATATACATTCTGGACTT